AGGGGTTGCTGATACACTTCTTTCTTCCAAATGCCTGACAAAAATGCTAAAGGTTTTAAAGAGAGGCAAAAAGTACTGGAGCCGAGTCTGATGTTCTTCCTCTGAGAGGAAGGGTGCAAGCCCGCATCTCCTTGATGTTGCTCTAAAACCCTTGGGCCGGCACCACCAGGGGCTTTGATGTTCTGTGAGCACTTCTGACATTCGACATCGGGACTCACGCTCTTGTGAAGCAGCCAATGGCAACAATAGTCACACTCTAGTTTAAAAAGGCAAAGGACAGCAAGACCTTCTACAGAACTTGTTGGAAGCCACTCACCAGATTAGAGGGAATGCTCTCTCTGTCTCTTCAAACACAAGATCATTAGTTTCCATTTTAATATTCATCCCAGGTATCTGTCACTGGGCACCCTCATCATCCCAGGATATCTCTAAGAGGGGATTCGCCAACCCACTCCTGATGTCCAGATCCAAAGCCACCGTTTCCTCCAAATGCCTTTAACTGAAACATAAAAACTCCATGCTTGGCCTTCAGCTGTCCTCCAAACCTCAGCTTTTATCATCTCCCCTTGAATGGGACTCCGCTTCGTGCCAGATCAACTGCCTCTCTTGCCCTTGCCCTGGGTTCCCACAGGCCCTGGTCTGGAAGCCTGTCTCATGTTGTTTTCCCCTCCCCACCAGCCAAGCCAGCTCTTCCTCCTCTCTGAAGGTTCAGCTGAAAGCTAACCATCTCTCAGAGAGTAATCTAGATGGTGGCTTTTTGATCAGTTGGATACTCTTTCCTTCCCTTCTTTCGCCTCTTTTTTTTTTTTTTCTACACACGTCCACATACTTGAAGAACGGGCGGGGGGGGGGGCGGGGAAAGCAAGCCATTTTTTTGGTATTAAAGTTGCTTTGTTCAGTGTGGACCTATCATATTTTATATGTGAAATTCTCTTGGACAGAGCATGCATTTCCGTGAACCTTAATGCGTGTATGAGTTAGGCCATAAGGATTGTGATTATGATTGGGTTCTCCATCTTCCTGCCACCTCAGGTCCCCACTTCTCTCCCTAACATCTTAGAAAAGTCGGGCATTTTCTTTTTCTTCCAAACTTCTTTCCCTGAAGGCCACCCTCCTTTGCTACCACGAACACATCAGGTAGGTAAAGTGCTTTTTCCTCACTTGCCCAGGGGAAAGCCCTCCCTCTTCCACAAATCCCCTTCTTGTTAACTAACATCTTTATTTTCAGTAAGATGTAGATGGACAGACAACAGCGAAATGCTACAGTGGGTGTCCCTGTAAATATCAGAGGCTCCCTGGAATTCAGTTAGTGTAAAGCCTTAGGAGTCCTCACCCCAGGCCCTTGGGTCCGTTGTTGACTGTGTCAAGAGGATGTCTGCCCAGTCTTGGCATCGTTGAGTTCCCCCATGCAAGCCGCTCTTCTGCACTGAAGGGCTGCTGCGTCTTGGATCACCCCTACCCAAGGAAGCTTGTCAAAGACTCTCCAGACTGGGGAGAGCTCCCAAACATTTCAGGCCTCCAGTCTTTTTTTTCACCGTTTCCAAGAGGTTCTTTTTCTCTTGGGAGCCTTCAGATAAAGTAGTACTGGCTGTCTCTGATGAGAGGAAATTCTGTTTATGAAAAAAAGATCCTTCCAGAACAACTTGTGAGAGAAGGTAGTTCAAATGTCTGGCTGTGCAGCGCACAGCATTTCTTCTGACTTGCAGTTGAAACATTAAAATTTCTCTTTTACACTTACTTTTGTCACTGGATCACTCTGCATGCACACAGGAAGCTACGTGTTAAGTAAATTGTTTAAGGTAGGGCTAGAACTTCTTCAGATTCAAATTTCAACTCTTCGAAGATATCTGAACTCCCATGTTTATTGCAGCGTTACTTATTCACAATAGCCAAGACGTGGAGGCAGCCTAAGTGTTTATTGACATACGCATGGGTAAAGGCGTGATATATGCATACAATGGAGAAAATGAAGGAAATCCTGTCATTTGCAACAATGCGGATGGACCTTGAGGACATTATACTAAGTGAAATAAGTCAGACTGAGAAAGTCATATACTGTATGATTTCACTTATATGTGAAATGTAAAAAAGCCAAACTCATAGTAACAGTATAATAGTAGTTGCCAGGGTAGAGAAAAACTCAGGAGAAATTAATGGGTGCTTTGTACTGCTTGTCACACATGTCTTTGGGGAAAAAAAATACTTTTCCTTTTTCTGGAAAATGCAGTACAAGTTGTCAGTGACGACCATCTATTAAGAAATTTCCTTCTGTGATTAGAGTGAGGATTTTTTCCCCCCAGAGGTAAATTATTCAACACAATTAATTTGAATCCGTGGTTGAGCCTGAGATAAAGTTATCAATTTTATCATTTCCCCCCAGTCTGTCCTGATATTATCATTGCCTGAGATTCTGGTACCCATAGCAACAGCCACTGTTTCAGACATCACTCCCCCAAGCAACCGAGCACCGCCAATAATTGACAGTCATCCCAGTGTGTCTCAAGGGGGTATTTCCCAGGGCTGGAAGACCTACGTCACAACTCACTGGCATGAGTTGAGAGGTTATGAAGAAGCTGGGGAGGCTGTGAGTGTTCAGGAAGGTGGCATACCCACAAGAAGTTTGCTTAACCCTTTTAAGAGGTTTATGGCAGGGGAGGGTCAGAAAATGGGGAAACTGAAGGGATGGGCAAAGTCAAGACATTGGAAAGTGCAACGGGGCCAGCTTCGCTAGTCTGAATGTTTCTCACTTCCTTCCACCAATACCCCACATACTTAAATGGCTGTTTGTGGACCCCCAAAATGAACCTAGAGGAGGGGATTTAGAGCATTCACTTTTGTCTTGCAGAAGAACAAGGAGAGAAACAATTGAGCTGCCACTGTATCTTAACTTCCCTGGCAGGGATTCTTAGAGAAAAGCTGTGAAATGTGATACTACAAGTAGGGGCTTGTAATAGGCCCTGGAGGGTAATCACAATTCTCTTTAAGTCTTGCAGGTGAGGAAATCCTTTTTCCCAGGTAAAGTAAGAGGATATAGTCCTAAGCAGATTTCTCTGCATTATCCTGGGGAATCCCTCTGAATCCCAGGAAAGGAAAAAATGGGATAAACAGCGAGCCCAGTGGCCAAGACAAAACCAGACTGGATAGCTTTAGAGCCTAGTAAAGAGACCACAAAAGGCGATGATGCCGTATATAGATTACAATACCTTGTGCATGGGGAAAATACAGGGCTTCTCTGTCCACGTGAGCTGGGTTTGCAGGCAGAATGTATGTATTTTGCAGCCACACCCTTTACCTATTGTGACTGAAGGGAAGTCACTGACAGTGAAGCCATCTGGGTGGATGGTGGACTCTCTGGGGATTTTTAGTCCTGAGTCCTTACAGGTGTTCACTTTCAGCTCAGGTAATGGCATCGCTGCCTGGGTGGGAGAGGGCCCTAACAGAGGGATTCTGCTGTGCAGGTGCGGCCTGCCTTCCAGTGAGGTGGCCTGCTACCTCTCACCCATTCTGTTGCTAATTCGCAAAACTTCTTTCATATGAGAAGCATTTTGGCTGAGATTTAGAGGCCGTCCCCACCCTGGGCTGGAAGGCACACCTGTAATTAGGGGAGAGACTACAGTGAGCAGGGTTGTCTTTAAGGGTGCCGGGGATTTCCCTCCCTTCCGGGGCTGGCTATCTGGCTAGATTCCCAGTCCACCCACCCTACCTTGCTTAATCCACTGATACACCTGTGGGCTAACTGGGCAAAAAATGGTATGTGGCATCCGAAGATCTGCGTTCCTGTCTGCATTCCATAACTTCTTACCTGTGTGGCCTCCTTTTTTATCCTCACTGGTAAAGATACAGTCACAGCACCTGCTCTTTTTATTTCCTGAGATTCTTATAAAAATAAAATACAAATGGTAATGGAAAAAATAAAATAAAAAGTATTAAAAATATGATACTGTAAATACAAGGACTTGGACTCACAAAGTGCCATTGTTACCATTTTAGTTGATCAGCCCTGTCTCTATGCAGAAGCCAGCCCAAGGCTCATTTCCTTTATCACTGTTGCCCAGGGTGAGCTTGTGAAAGAGGTACTCTGCCATGCTGGCTTCCAGGGCCCCCAGCTTGCTCCTCTGAATCAACATACATTGATATATGTGTAACTAAATGAACTAAAACATTTCCAGTAAAGCTGAAGACCCTTCTCTCCCTTTATTTAATCCTTGCCCAATCCCATTCCCTTCCCTTCTTCCCCAGAGGCAACTATTATAAATTCAGACCATTAAAAAAAATACTTTTACTGTGCACATGTACCAACATTCACCAGGACCCCGGACCATCCACCTGACCCAACCCCTGTATACCACATGGTTTATAAGGGGGAGATTAATTTAGTGTTTTCCAGGGTCCCAGGGAAGACCCCTTCCCTCCATCCAGGGTTTAGGGAATACCCCCTTCCTCCATCCAGGGTCCCAGGGAACACCCCCTCCCTCCATCCAGGGTCCCAGGAAACACCCCCTCCCTCTGTCCAGGGTCCCAGGGAACACCCCCTCTCTCCATCCAGGGTCCCAGGGAACACCCCCTCTCTCCATCCAGGGTCCCAGGGAACACCCCCTCCCTCCGTCCAGGGTCCCAGGGAACACCCCCTCCCTCCGTCCAGGGTCCCAGGGAACACCCCCTCCCTCCATCCAGGGTCCAGGGGACACCCCCTCCCTCCATCCAGGGTCCCAGGGAACACCCCCACCCACCATCCAGGGTCCCAGGGAACACCCCCTCTCTCCATCTTTGGGAGATCCTGAGGCGCATGTGATTAGGGCATGGGTGGGTGGAGAGGCTGCTGCATACTTGTTTTAAATAGTAAAATGTGAGGGTTTTGCACACACCAATCAACCAGAGACCTTTATTTATTTAGGAACCAATAACTTTATTGCAAGATGTTAAAGCTATAAGGGCAATACTGCTATATGCACGCGGTGACAGGAAAGTCACCCAGGGGCTTTGGGGAAGGCAGCCCAGGGTCAGTTCTTTCTGTCTTCCAGGCGGAGCCTGTCACGGAGGTATTCTGCCAGTGTGACTTCGGGGTGTACAGGCCTAGACGAGAAGGTAATATCTTGCCCCAGCTGCTGTATGGAGGTCAGCTGCTCACGCAGGGGATTCTGCTGCAGGACACTGGACAGGTGGCCGTCGTTGTTTGCCGTGGCTGGCTGCTGTAGGTCAAGCAGGCTCTGGTTGGCACTCATTGCCAGGCACAGGGCACACTCCGTGGCCGTTGGCATGCTGTGCCAGTTGTTTCCGACCGCGTTGTTGAGGTCGTGCAGGTGGGCAACGCCTCCTTGCTGGTTGGGCTGCCACATCAGCCGCTCGGCGGGCGCCATCTGCTCTGTGGACTGGCCCTGGAAGACCTCGGTGATTTCGCTCAAGGCGATGTTGCTGCCATCGAAATACGAGGCCACGGACCTGTACATGTAGGCCGTATAGAGTTCCAGGTTGACCTGGTTGTTGACGCCGACCTGGCAGTTAAGGAAGTAGCCCTGTTGTAGTTCCCAGAGCGAGGTCATCATCGCGGTTGCAGGCCCAGGTGCGGGCGACGCGGTCATCACGGCTGCAGGCTCAGGTGCGGGCGATGCGGTCATCACGGCTGGAGGCCTTGGTGCAGGTGGTGCGACAGTCAGGACTGGACGCTCAGGTGTAGCCATCAAGGCCAAGGCAGCGCGGTGGCGGGACCTGCGGGGCACGCCTCTGCAGTGGCTGTGGTGGCGGCGGCTGCGGCGGGTTGGTTGGAGTGACCCCATGGTGAGCCACTTAGGTGGCCGGAGACCGGCAACTCGAGTTAGGTCTCAGCTAGCAAGCGGAAAGGCTTGGAGACGGTATAGGAGATGTCCGTTAACAACGGAGGTTGAGGAGGGAATGACAATTCCGTGCACGAGGGCGGGGCAGTGTCACGTTCTAGGTTCCACCAGAGCCTGTGTGACGCCGGAAACCTGGAGCAACCGCGTGCTGAGTGTCGAGACCGTTATAAAAAATAACGGCTCTGTTATTTAATTTATACAGTATAACTTGAGTATATAGTATTATATATACTTTATACTTGTATATATACTTACATAATACTATATACTTACAGTATATAATTATAGTATAGTATCATCTAAGATATAATTGATATAGTATAAAATTCACCTTTTGCAAGTGAACATTTCCATGGTTTTTAGTATATTCTTGGAGTTGTGCAACACCACAGTCTAATTTCAGAACATTTTCATCATTTGAAAGTGCAGTTCCCTACCCAGGAGTAGTCAATCCCCAATCTGCCTTCCCTCAGGCAGGGCAGCCATTGATCTACTTTTTGTCTTTGCAGATTTGCCTGTCCTGGACATTTCAAATAGATGCAGTCATACCATATGTGGCCTTTTGTGTCTGGCTTAATGTTTTTAATATTCATCCTTTTTTGTTTCTGAATAGCATTTCATTACACAGATATACCACATTTTATTTATTCTTTCATCACTTTATGGACATTTGGGATGTTTTGTGGCTTTGTGAATAAAATAGTATTGCTATGAGCACTTGTGCTATAGGTTTTTCTATAGACATAGGTTTTCAGTTCTCTTGGGTATATACCTAGGAATGGAATTGCTGGGTCATATGATAACTCTGCCTACTATTTTGAGGAACTGCCATAATGTTTTCCAAAGTGACTGAACCATTTTCCTTCCCACCATTTTACCCCACTACCAGCAAGTGTATGAGATTTTTGACACTGCTACTGTCTGTTTTTAAAAATGTTTTTAGTCACCTTAAGTGGACGGAAGGTGGTATCACATTGTGGTTTTGATTTGCATTTCTCCAGTGACTAATGATGTTGAACATCTTTGTATGTGCTTATTGGCCATTTGTATGTCTTCTTTGGAGAAATGTCTATTCATATCCTTCGCCCATTTTTAAGTAGAATTGTCTGTCTTTTTATTATTGAGTTGTTACAGTTTTGCATCGATTCTGGATACAAGTGCCTTATCAGATATATGATTTGCAAATACTTTCTCCAAGTCTGTGGTCATCTTTTCACTTTCTTAATGGTGACCTTGAAGCACAGAAGTCTTAATTGTGATAAAAAGTTGAACCTATCAATTTTTTATTTCATCACTTGAGATTTTGATGTCATATTTAAGAAACTTGCTTACTTCAAGGTCAAAGATATATACCTTGGTTTCCTACTAAGAATTTTATAGTTTCAACTCTTACATTTGGGTACATTTAGGGCTCTGATTGATTTTGAGTGAATTTTTGTATATGATGAGAGGTAGGGATACAACTGCGTTCTTTTGCATGTGGATCTCCAGTTATCCCTGCACCATTTACTGAGAAAGCTATTCTTTCTCCATTGGATGGTCTTGGCACATTTGTTGAAAGTCAATTGGCCATAGATATATTGGTTTATGTCTGGAGTCCCAATTCTATTTTGTAAATCTATATATCTAAACTTAGGCTGGTACAACACTGTCTTGATTATTGTAGCTTTGTAGTAAGTTTTGAAATAAGGAAGTATGAGTCATCCAACTTTATTCTTCTTTTTCAAGATCATTTTGGCTATTCTGGGTCTCTTGTATTTCCATATGAATCTTAGAATAAGCCTGCAAAGTCCTTCCAAAAAAGGGGCTAGGATATTAATAGGGATTGCTTTGAAACTGTAGATAATTTTGGGGAGGGGTATTGATATGTTAATAATATTAAGTCCTTTGATCCATAAACATGGGATGTGTGGGACCTCTTAAAATAGAGGTTCTGATTTAGACTGGTGACAAAAATCTAAATTTCTAAACAAACTCTCAGGTGATGCCAGACTACCCTCTGTGTAACAATGCTCTCAAAGGAAGAGGTCTTCCATCCTCAGTTGTATCAGTTCATTCAGGCTGCTATAACAAAGTACCACAGATTGGGTGGCTTATAAATAACAGAAATTTATTTCTAACAGTTCTGGAGGCTGGAAGCCCAAGTCAGGATGCCAGCATGGCCGGGTTCTGGGAATAATGCTCTTCTGCATTGCAGATGGACATTCTCGCTGTGTCCTTACATGGCCAAAGGGACAAGGGAACTCTCTCGAGTCTCTTTTATGAGGACACTAATCCCATTCCTGACAGATCTACTCTGATGACTTCATCACTCCCCAAAAGCCTCACTTCCAAATACCATCATATTGGGGGTTAGGGTTTTAACAAATGAATTGAGGTGTGGGGAGGAATGCAGACATTCCATCTGTAGCATTTACTGAGGTTTGGAGGTAAGGGGAACATGTATGCATTGTTCCCTTTCCCTCCACAAGCAGAGATTCCTGTTCCTACCTCATAGGCAGTGTTCCCAATAGTTACAATACATATGGGCTTCTATGGGGAAGAGGGTAGGCCTTCCTCCTTCCATCAGGAAAAATTGTGAAAGACTTTAAATTTGACAAAGAAGAAGTTCACTGGGTGTCGTTTTTAGAGCAGCCTTCACTGATTTTGAGCTATTTTATAACTCTGTAATTTGTAGAAAACTAATAATGCAAATGATTCTTGTCCACAGGAATGCAAATGAATTGAGTCTGGTGGAATGCAACTTATTTTGGACACACTTTGCATCTATTTGTGCATTCATCTCCACATTTCTTAATGCCTGGCTCTTTCAATTTTTCTTTGAACCATTTGTGACATCTTACTGGTTTCCTCATTATTTTTTAAAAAAGATTTTATTTTTTAATTTATTTTTAGAGAAAGGGGAAGGGAGGGAGAGAGGGAGAGAAGCATCAATGTGCGGTTGCCTCTTGCGCGCCCCCTCCTGGAGACCTGGCCTGCAACCCAGGCATGTGCCCTTGACTGGGAATTGAACCGGTGACCCTTTGGTCAGTTTGCAGGCCAGTGCTCAATCCACTGAGCCTCACCAGCCAGGGCTCCGCTAGCATTCCTTATCCCAGCCCCACTAGAAACACACTCAGACCCCACAGGAGTTGGCTTAGTGCATCACACACTTTTATGGGCTGCTCACCAGACATGTGATTCCAGAAAAATATTTGGGATATAAAGGCATAGAATTCCTGACTGGATGGTACTGGAAGGATAGCGTCTCTGAGGAGAAGGAGTCAGGGGGTACTCCGGGAATGCAGGGAACCAATGCAAACCAACAGAGGAAGGGGGCATCTGGAGAGCAGGCCACGGGAGGGGCCTCATCAGCAGAACACTGTAGCACTGTGCACGTTAGAGAAGACAGAGAACTAGGCGTGACCAATGAAGACCCACAGAAAACGAGAAGCAGCCAAGAATGAGGGGAGCAGTGAGATCTTCCGGGCAGAGAGAGTAGTCAACAGCGATTTCAAGAGTGGAGGACTGACTGACACACAAGGCAATGTGGCAGGTTGAGATGCTCCACCTGAGTAAAATCGACCCCGGAAGGAGGTAGGAACAGGAGCTCTTAGAACCAGGAGAAAGGACCCCTTCATCAGCACTTTTGTCTTCCCTGAGTCATACCACTGAAACGGCTGTGGGGACCCACAGATACTGAGGGTGTGGAGTATTCAGGACAGGGCCATGGGCTCTACCTTCCAGCTGGTGATCAGAGGGAACGAAGCTCTAATGCATTCTGGTTGGCTCCACCAACAGGCATCTTTTTAGCACAAAGGCCATGGGAAAATTTTATTCTGGTTACTGTTTGATTAAGTGCTAATAAGACAGGTTGACCCCGGCTGGCGTGGCTCAGTAGACTGAGTGCAGGCCTGCTAACCAAAGGGTCGCTGGTTCGATTCCCAGTCAGGGCACATGGCTGGGTTGTGGGCCAGGTCCCCAATAAGGGTGCGCGTGAGAGGCAACCACACATGGATATTTCTTTCCCTCTCTTTCTCCCTCCCTTCCTCTCTCTCTAAAATAAATAAATAAAATCTTAAAATAAAGGACATGTTGCACACCCACATGCGTTATATTCTGAAGAGGGGAATGCCCCTTCCTGTCTCCAGTTCTTGGGTTCTGATTTGAGGGTGAGAAGGGGCATCGCTACCTTGAGGGCTAAAGACAAGGCCTCTAAACTTGAACATGTCCATTGTATGTATTGATGTGTGTAAATTGATGACTGACAGTAGTTCAGTTAAATATAAATCTTTAATCTTGCAGCCTTTCGGTATTATTCGGTGTACCGGATACCCTCCATTTGCCTCTCCAGTACTGTTCTCTGTCCTTCTTCACCTTACTTGAGCCCTGGGAGGCTAACCTCTGTCAACTGCATCCTCTGTGGGCCTCTGTGTCCTCTGCTTCAGGTTGGGTTCAGCCAATGGGAGGCATCAGCAGGAGCGGAGAGTGAGGCTGTGGTGTTTATTGTCTTGCTTTCCTCTCTTCAGGGCAAAACATTAAGAGGCACATCTATTTCCTTTTTATAGATCTTGCTCCCTGAGTGTGGTAAGACCATTCTCAGATGGGCCTTCTGTAGACAATGTTCACTTCAGAGGAATTGACTCCAGAGAACAGACGTGCTTTGGTTCAAGGTTAATGCACAGCTTAAGAAATTCATTAGGACCCAGAGACTAGTAGGCAGCTGTACATTCCTTCAGGCCAGAAGAAATGGAGCTGATAGAAGAAATAACATACCTGATCTAGGACCGTCTCAGGCAAGAGTATGATGGCCAAAGTGGAGCTGCCACCCAAGGCTCAGGCTTCAGTTGTCTAGCCTGTGGATTTCTCTGGCCCCTGGCTCCCTTGTTTCCCTAGGTGGTAGACTCCTTGGCTACCCCTCATCGAATCAGCAGGTCCATGAAAAAGAGAAGAGCAAAAGAGGA